CTCGGTTGTTCGCGCACCAATAGCACCAAGAGAGATAAGGTCGGCGAGGAACTGTGGAGAGATAGTGTCGAGCATCTCGGAGGCAATGGGCATGCCCGCGGATGTGAGGTCCACGAACAACTTGCGCGACACTCTCAGGCCCTTGTTGATTTTGTAGCTCTCGTCAATGTCTGGGTCGTTGATCAGGCCCTTCCAGCCGACGGTTGTGCGTGGTTTCTCGAGGTAGGCGCGCATGATGATGCAGAGGTTGTCTTGAAGCTTGTCGGCGAGGGCCTTGAGGCGCTGGCAGTACTCGAGTGCCAGCTCTGGGTCGTGGAGCGAGCAGGGCCCGACCATGACGAGGAGACGGTCATCTTTCTGGGTAATGATGCTGGCGGCTTCCTTGCGACCTTGAATGACGGTCTTTTCGGCATGTGCGGGGATGGGGATCTCGGACGCGAGAAGTTGGGGTGGGATCAGCGGGTCGTAGCCAAGTACGCGCACATCGTCGCTCGGGTTGATGGACATGTCGGGTGTTTCTGTTGCAGCGGGAGCCATTGTACAGTGGGTAGGCTATCTTTGTGTATATTAGTAGGCTGTCTAAGCGACTGTCGATTTGCGGTCAGTCTTACTTGGACTGTGGCACAGACGTATGCGGATGTACAGCAGCGAGGTTGTACAGGGCGTGCAGTAGAGTGCAAGGAGGGGCGTTGAACGTCTCAAGTCAGAAAATCAAGCGCGCAGATGGTGTATGCAGGCGCAGGTCCGAGGTCGGCGAGAATGACAGGCAAAGGATACAGTGAGGGCGTTGCAAATACAGTCATATGCCACCAAATTATTTGGGAAACTTTAGGTCGGGGTGGGGCTGATGGTTGGTTCTGGTCCCGCAGGCTATCGATACACCGTCGACGGAGCTTTGCAGCTGCATGTGCGCCAAGCTCGTTACCCTGGAATTGGGAATCGCCCTCTTCCTGTTGGTCAATGTACGTCTATGTTGCTGCTGGAGCTCGACGACGGCGTGAACATGACCTTTTCCTCTTGGTGTAGTCTGCAGATCGGCCTGGTTTTGAATTCTGGTATGAGGTGGCAGCTGGCAGGCTGGATGGAAGCGTTGGCGGCACTGTCTGACCAAAGCTGCAGCAACGGCTCACTCAGCCCGTATCCCTTCCAACAGCATCTCTCCGACCCCTAGAGGCCTGCATTCAGCTTGCGACATGTCCAGGTGGCTACACACACACGCCTCCTGCCACATCCCGCCATGACAAGTGAACGTAGGCTCCTCCCCTTCCCCTTGGACATGCAGATACACAGCCCACGTGATGCCGTACCTGCCTCGGTTTCGGCGAGTTCAAGGTTTGGCTTCAGTTGCCAATCACCACTCCGCCACGCTAAGCCACACCATCGTCGACATCATCGCGACTATCTCTCGCACGCACCGCCGGCAAGCGACACCTCGGGCTGGATCTGGACGGGCCTCCAACTCCCGGCAACCAAGTCGCAAGTTCCCCCCACAGTCGCTTGAGGCGCGCGACTCCACCATCCAAGCCTTGGTTCTTTTCATGCGACCTGAAACAGCGCCCCTGATAGTCATATCAACCCCCCGCCCGGCTTGCGTCAAACATACCGACCAGGTCTCTCGATCGCAGTCCCGCTTCCTCAGCCGCACCCCTCTCGACCCTCACTGCACCACCACAATCATCTCGTTACCATTCCACCGACGCGTTGATCGCGTTGCGCCGACGTAGGGAAGGACCACTCGTTTAGTCTACATCACCATGTCTGCATTTCACTTCATGGCCAGGAAGCGAGGGCGCGACGACGATTCAGACTCGGATTTCGACGAGGAAAGGTACCTCAAGGTATGTCGGCAATATCGTGTGCCGGGCTTTGGCTAATGGCGGTACAGAAATCCCGACCGGGCAGCAACGAGCCGACCAACCACGACCAGTTCCAACATCAATCGCTGTCGACCCCACCAAGACTCTTTACGGACATCCGGTCTATGACACCGGCACATTCAGAATATGGAGGAGCGAATTCGCCGGATTCGATATATGGTGGACCTGTCTGTATATCAAGAGAATCAAGTGGCATGGACATGGATATGGATATGGACGACGATGACATGGATGTTCGGAGCCAGCCGCCAGAGTCGCCCGCCTTCAACTCGTTTGGCAGCAACTTCATGCGACCGCCCATGCTCCAACCATCGCTATTCAACTCAGACGCCGTCAACAACAATAGTCGGATACCCACACCCATACACCCGACTTTTAAGAGAGGGGGGATGAGCGGATTGGGTTATCCGATGAGCGGATCAGCCGGTGGCATAGCTATGAACAACTCGAATGTACCGTCAATGCAGGCACCTCCACCAGCCTGGAAGGGACAGAGGCAGGATGTAGACGAAGATCGGACTAGACGCATGCCTTCACCCATATCCGAGGACGATGACATTCCAGATACGCCAACCGCTTTCACCCAGTCACAACTATCGCGACTTAGTTTTTCGCACACCAGTACGGCCGATCAGATGGATATCGAGTCATCCTCCACCTTGGCCCCACCTTCGACGCCTCGCGGAAGGAAACGAAGCGGTGCTTTGACCGGTATGGGACGTTTCAGTATGGGTTACCGGGAAGACTGCGAGAAGTGCAGACAGCGGGTTCCAGGCCACTATTCACATTTCCTACCATAGAGAAGGTGGGCCTAGAGACAGCGGACTCGGGTCATTGGGGTACGACAGCATGGCGAACCTTGGTATTTGCCCATGACATTCGCACCACGATACTCACCTACACGGGCTCTTCAAACTTCGTCATCATCATTATCCACACTTACCGTGTGGCGTTTTCATGCCTCATAATCGGCGTTTCATCAGCATGGCGCTCCAGGAGTCTTATCATGCGTTAACGATATCCCTCTAAATGTACAAGTATTCTACTATTCGACGATAGCAATTCCACAAAAGACACTCGTCATCGTACTTGCCACTTGACTGAACGTATCATTGTGCACCGCTCTGTTTCTTAACTGTGCCCAACTATAGCATGTCAGAAACACTTATCGGGCCTTCTTCTCCGGCACCACGAAAAGAAGACCTGCAACAGTATACATCAGCAGGTTTTTCCAAGATGCAATACGGTATAGCGTTACGGTTAAGGCCAGCAGAACATGGTACTGTGTGAAACAAGTGGGACCTGGGGTGTAGTGAAACGAAACGGCACAGCGCTTCCTGTGGCGCAAAGCGAATCTCGTCATTTGTGAAACGAACGATCTGAGGGTTCAGAGTAGGTCTAGACCAGGTTCGCGGGTGTCTTGTGCCGTGGTGTAGATATCGAACGACAGCGAAGGGACTAATCAGGAAGGTGCGACGGGGATGCTTTATGTGAGGCATGTAAGGCGGCCATTCGGGAGTTGGCAAAAGAGTGCAATTTCCGTAGACGATGGTGTCAGTTGGGGATTTTGTATTGGGAAACCCACCAGTGGTGTACGTCGAACGGAGAGGATCAATGATGTCGATTCATGAAGAAGAGTTTTGTGCACTTGTCTCTACATTACGGGACATGATCAAAGTAGCTTAGTATGTTGGCGCGGTCCTTCTACAAGCAGACGCTTATTTTTTAAGATGCATCATATGCCGGTATACTTGATTGAGAATCTTATAGGAACGGCGGGCATTTTAGGATGTATCATAAATCCAATAACAACGAGCAAACTTAGTAAGGTGGTAGTAGCATAACCATCAAAATCAAACTTTGACATCAACTCCTGGGATAGAGCAATACAAAACAAGAAAAACCATCATAGTGATTGTTGCCAGTTCCCATGAACTCACCTACTACCGCCTAGCTAGAATCTTCCTCGTCGGCTGGTGGCAGCCATCGTATGATGCGCCATATATCCCTGATCTCATAATAGCATTCATAATGTTTCTTTGCGTACCGAATGGCGCGTGAGCGGTTATCCATAGAACTGATGTCAGGATCAGGTAAATTCGCGAGCAGCCTCTCGTAGTATGGGTTACTGCGCTCCGCGGGACCCCGGGGCTTCTCTTTCATATACTCACGATACCGGTAAGCTAAGGCATAGGGGTCTTGTCGAATCGGAATAGGTTCAGTCATGACTACAGTGGTTACAATATAGATGTCGTTCCGCGCGAGGGCGAAGTTGATGTGGAAGTTTGTGGCCTGGTAGAGTAGTAGTAAACCAGGCTGACATCAAGCGTTTATGAGTAGGGACACGCTCGGCTGTGTGACATTGTGAATTTTCGCGCAACAAAGGTTGAATAGATGACCTTGATGTGAGGAGCCCTTTCTATGCACAATGTCGTACTAGAGGAGCAGCGGCCTGGGAGGAATTTGTCAGTGGTGACTGAGTATACCTCGGGTGCCGAAATCGCTCCAAACGCTCATGTAAACCGACATGAGATGGCGGAAAGATCGTAATCTTCTTCGGAGAAAAACCGAAGGAAGTTTGCTGCTGCCCGTGGTGAGCAAGGCGCTCCTTTGCCGGGCTTCAGTTGAGATCGGTTTGAAGACCAATGGCGGAAAGGCATTCTCAAAGCGTGGCTGTCATCGAGATTGCTCTTGTTGGCCGTCAAAAAGTATGTGAGATGACCATAAAAGCGATGACAGGGAGGAAAAGCAGCACCAGTAACAGGGGACTCTGTTGCAAATAAAGGCATAAAGACCCGTGGACATCAGAAGCTCGTACGTCCACGGGTGGACGCAACTCGAGAAAAGGTTGCCAAATGCATCCTATTTAGAGGTATGATGTAGAATGGGATACGACGGAGTACAGACTCTACCGTATATGCTCAGCGACGTAAACAAGGTGTACAGCGGATATAATGCGAAGCCGTTGGAGCGCTCATGTTCCCTTGACCTCGGTCGCGGCTGCATCTGTTTTTGTGGGGCGCAGCATCTTGGCGCCCGCGCTTGCGGGATAGCGGCTAGCGCTAACGCTAAGAGTCTGGCAAAAATTGAGCTTCCGAAGAATTCCTCGAACACCACTTCAACATGTCGTCGAAGTCGTACGTTGTCCCTACACCACGCGCAGTTTCCAAAGCTAATCCTTACCCAATAGAACTGTTCCCACACAGAGTGAGATCACTCTCGTGCCTGAGAACCTCCTCAAGAAGAGGAAGTCTCAGGAGAAGGCTCGTGAGGAGCGCGCGATCGCAACACGCGAGAAGCGAGGTACGACCAACCCCAGCATGCTATCGACGATCCATGAGGGCGATTACGATGATTATAACTACCACACTATCGGCTAGACTACGGTCAATGTTGTCGAATTGTTAACCATCTTTCGGGAATGATGCAATCGTCCTCACTGGAGCTCATGGCATGACACACTGTTGCAGACAGCGCTGACATGACACAGACAAGAGCAAGAAGAAGCGCGAGGTCATCTTCACGAGAGCCGAGAAGTATGTGAAGGAGTACCGCGATGCCGAGCGGGAGCGCGTGCGCTTGTCGCGCGAGGCCAAGAAGAGCGATAGCCTATACGTCCCCGCCGAGCCCAAACTCGCCTTCGTCGTCCGGATAAAGGGTATCAACAAGATTGATCCCAAGAAGCGCAAGACACTGCAGCTTCTGCGGTTACTTCAGATCAACAATGGCGTCTTCGTCAAGCTTACCAAGGCGACTATGGAGATGCTGAAGATTGTTGAGCCCTTCGTTGCTTATGGCTACCCGAACCAGAAGTCGGTTCGTGAGCTCATCTACAGTAAGTTCGGTACAGATGCAAGTTTACTGCCAGATATTAACTGGGATACAGAGCGTGGCTATGGCAAGGTCGACAAGCAACGCCTTCCTCTGACGGACAACGAGATCATCGAAGAGAACCTTGGCAAATACGGCATGATCTGTATGGAAGACCTCATCCATGAGATCTGCACCGTTGGGCCGAACTTTAAGGCTGCTTCGAACTTCCTCTGGCCGTTCAAGCTTAACAGCCCTACTGGTGGCTTCCGCAAGAGGAAGTTCAAGCACTTCATCGAAGGTGGTGACTTGGGCAACCGGGAAGACAAGATCAACGAATTGATCAGGCAGATGAATTAGACCACGCGAGGTCAATATTTTTTGGGTTTCGTCTCTGGTTTGGGCGTGAAAAGCTTTGGGATATACCACGGGAGTGAGCATTTACATCGGCGTTTGGGACCTCTGACCTTTAAGTATCACGGTCACTTGACGAGTCTACGTGCAAAACGCATGCAATCTGAATGAATTTGAACTGTTGCGCTGTGTTCGCCTCATACAACTTGGCCACCAGAATCTCGTGCTCCTTCGGCAAGGACATTGCTGTCGTCGTGTATTTGCCAGTGTCATGCGATGCGGATTAGCGGCATGTATTGCCAGCGCACCACGAACGCGTTGGGCACTGTGTGAGCCGAAAACGCGCGTGCGATCAATCTTCCAAGCAGGAGCCTTGGGTACCTTTGAAATGCGCAGGATATTCGCAGTAATTGCTTTTCATGGCCGGTCTGGAAGGTACCACAGGCTCAGACGTTTGAAATGGGTAGAGAGGAAATATCTCACTACCGCCTCAGCCATCTCACGATGCCTGGCTATCCTCACACTCGGTCACGTGCTACTCCTGCGCTAAGCCACTTTGATTTCAAGTTATCTTAGCAACATCGCTTGCCAATCCAGTACCGCGTGCATCTCCTTGCCGGCACTTATTTATTCATTCTCCAGCCCATAGTGTTCGCCCTCACCGCATCCCTGACGTAAACTCAAGTGCCGTGAATATCGTTGTGGACGACGTAGCGTTCGACTCCACACGAGACAAATATTGCCTCCTACGCGGGATGGTGAAGTCAGCTGCATGACCAACACGATGTTTCTGGTGCCTGATGGAAAATCACGGTAAGGGCTGCAAGCGTCACTATGGGTATTGATGAGCTCGAGGGGCCAATCCGCGGCCAAGGACGTGGGCAAGAAATATGTTGGACGGTGTGAGTGGAGCAGGTGCCGGCCTCGAAGGCTCGAACATCCTCACATGCATCCCAGTGCATACAGTGGGCACCTGCTTACGATATTGCACCGAGCCCAGAGGGGGGCGCCGAGCGCTTGGGTTGCCAGTGACGATTGCACGAGCAGCAATTTGGCGACGAGGACGTTGATGACGCTCGCCTACAGGCACCAGGCAGTCCGGTTTCGCCGCCGACGTTGTCACTGCCACGCTACCATGGGCATCAGATTCGGGATCGATTTGCATAAGTCGCGCTGATCGCGACACCCTCCGTCTTGCCCATGGTAGGACGTGGCCCCGCCCGACGGACAAGGCCAGGCGTCGCAGGAGCGCTCAACGGCCGCGGCACAATTTTGCACTGCGAACGGGTCCGCGTCGGTGGTGAAGTGCGCGATGGCAGTGCTATTCTTGGGCCCGGCGTATTGCCACGGCCACGACACGAGAGCAGCCATCAAAACAAAACGCAGACTGGCACGGGGCTGCGCGTCGCCCAGTGCAAATTGACTCCTGTCTTCACAATTCAGGCACTCGAGCACTGTTCACAACCCAAGCAGCTCAGATGACAGGTGCTCACCACGGCGCAGCGGACCAGTGAGGCCGCTACTGCAGGCGCGCCAAAAGAAGAGGGCAGGCCGGGTTGCGGGCGATACGTGGCTGGCTTCTGTCGCGGGTGCAGAGGGTGGTCCCTGGCAGCGTTCATTGGCCGGGCGCGGTGGAGTTGTGCAGCGCTGCACCACGACTGCAGCGCTCCTGCGGCGAGAGTCATGAGTGCCAGTCACCGCAAGACGCGGGCTGGAGTCGACGCTGCGACCCACTAACTGCAAGAGGCAGAGTTTTCATAGCACATGAGTGGAGGAGCGGGCAAGTAATGAACCATTCTTGCAGGTGCGGCCTTCGGATGGCGACGGTCTTGCGGGCGTCCCAGAGCCCCTTCGCTGCTGCTGCTAGGCCTTCGCTAACGGTGTGTGTCGAATACACCCACATCACCGCCCTCTGCCCTCCCCATCCTCACTCTCCCCGTGCCCCGTCTCCCCATCTCCCTCGTCCTGTCGTCGTCGCAGGCGTTGCTCGTCGCGACACAGTCCCCAAGCCCCAACGGACGTGCGCCCCCAATCTCGGCTGTCCGGCATCCCCAGCCCGCTCACCAGCACCTCCCGACGCTTGCTCTGTCTCGCGGGCTTGCAAACGAGCACACCTGCACTCACGGGTAGACGTGTCCGTCTGGCTCCGACACCCAACGCCTCGTCCCCTCCGCCGCTGTCCACACGCTGCGAGTGCTTTCTTCGGCTTTGGTTTGGGCTTGTACTGTGTAATAGTCCTTGGTTTCAACCTGTTTTCTTTTGCCGCCCATCCCCAGGGACCTCGACTCTCCGCGACATCTCCCACCACGACCTCGCATCGCCGGATCTATTGACTTAGCCCCGGTCTGCCTGCGCTCCATCACCCTCGAGCTGCCCTTCACCTCTCGCCGCGCCCTTTGCCTCCCTTCCAGGCACTTCTCCGGCCACCCACCGCCTCCGCGCAACCACCAGCGCGACCCATTTCCACCGCCCACAAACACCTCCCGGACGTCGCATTTCCTTGAATGAGCACATCTTTCTAGAGGGTCCGTAGGCAACTCTAGAGGCGGCGCGAACGAGAAGACTGTACGTCACAAGCCCCAAGCCGCTGGCCACGCCCGTCACGCCAGCACTCACTAACACGACGCCAGGAGCCTCGCCAGTCTTCTCTCTGCGGCAGTCCCACACCATCATGCCCTCCTTCTACCCCCGGCATAACATGCCACGGCTATCTCCCCAGGAGTTCGTCCCCAGCTACCACTCTGCCTGTGGCGCCTCATACCCACCGCAGCAGCCCGCGTACGCTGGCCCCGCGATCCGGCAGCAAGATGATGGTTACGACTTCGCAGACCGCTACGGCCAACTGGCCATCGCCATGCCACCCATGTACCCGCAGGCCGGCACCTACCTCAGCAGTGCGCCTCCCAGTCTTCCACCTGCGAGCTCCTTCTACGATCCCATGGGCGCAACCACCCTGCCACCCATGCGCGCACAGTCCGGCCACGCGTTGGCAGAGGCGGCTATGCAGCAGCAGCGCGTGCACGAGTACAACCAGCGAATGAGTCAGCCCGCCAAGGAAGAGAAGCCTGTCGGCGGCGTGTCTGCAAAGCTGGACTATGACATGGACGTCATGACCGACTTCGTGTGCGAGACAGCCCTACGACTCATCACGCCCGGCCGCATGATGCCCTCGTCGTTCCGCAAATGGGTACACCAGGTGCTTTGCGCCACACGGCTGCCCTCGGCTACCATCCTGCTCAGCATGTACTACCTGTCCAGCAGGATGCCTATGCTAGCTCACGAGCCCAAGACCGACACTCACCTGTTCCGTCTCCTCACCATCGCGCTTGTGCTTGGTAGCAAGTTCTTGGACGACAACACCTTCATCAACCGTTCGTGGTCCGAGGTTAGCGGTATTCAGGTTCATGAGCTGAATGAGCTGGAGCTAGAGTGGCTCGTAGCAATCAAGTTCAAGCTTCATCGCGATCCATCTGAGCAGCATGGTTGGACATCATGGTCAGAGCACTGGAAGGACTACCAGAACAGTGCTGCTGCCCGCTCTGGTCGCAGCAACAAGCTCAGCCCTATCGACACATCGGTACACCGACGCTCACTCAACCCCAACAAGCCGCTTCCTCCTCTGCCGATGCACCAGGCCTACACTCCACCGTACGACTATGCGCCCAAGTCGGCACACTCTGCATACAACCCTCCGACCTACTCGCAGTACGACCCATGGCGGTCCGCTAGCGAGCACTCTCCTGCGTCAGCACCGACCACGGGCCCTACCACCCCAGAGTACTACGGCACAACGGGTACTTGGGCTCCAGCTGAGGGATACTCGCGTCGCACCATGTTCGGTTTCCCACCCTTGTCTCAGCCCGCCCCTGCGCAAGCGCTTCAGCAGCCGTCCAATTATGGCCCACCCGCCTACTCCACTCAGTACACACCGTCTGCATGGAACCAGCATGGTCTCAGCTGCGGATGTGCCTACTGCGTGCAGAGGCACCCGCCTTACTACATGGCTCCTGGTTATGGCCCACAGGCTGTTGCCGTCTAATTGCCCGCCACCTACCGGCCGCATATCAAAGCGACATCGCCTTGCCACACCTTCACGGATACATATTCGGCTGCCTATTCCAGCACTTCCTATGTTCAAAAAGTTACCTTCTGTTTCGCGAAGTACCATGGCCTACCAAGCCGACCCAGTTCCGATCACTGGACACATCTGGCTACTTCGATTCCCTCGAGTCTAGACTATCAGACACTCTCAAGGTGCCATTGCCTTATTCCTTCTGCTATCTGCAAGCATATTGGTGCGCCTCCGGATCTCACGAAAACGCACAAGGCTTGCGATCATCTTGCATGATAGATTTCACTGGTTCTTTTTCCTTCGTTTTCCTTCACTCTTTCCTTGTATCACCGGTATTACGTTTTAGACTTTGGTTTGTCCATGGTCTAATAGGAGCATGTCAGCGAAATTGTGGGTTACGGCGTTCCTGCTTTTACCTGGGTGTCATCTCGCACCTTACGATTGTTCATTTCTCTAGCGCTGCCTCAAGAATGTTTACGGGGCTGCCTATCTCGGTTTATGGATTTCTCTTCTCTGGAGTCGGCTTTTGCACTCGGCACACCAAGCCTCTCCATGCGACCAAGCCTTCGGTAGCGACCAGCATCACGCCACCACCGGAGGGTCGCTTGTTACGTTCACGACTTCTTTCCTCGATCCCCGCCTTCCGCTGTAGTCGGGTTGTAATTAATGGCACAAGATCAGCGATGGGATTCGCTTTATTTCTTTCGGAGTGGTGGAAAAAATACCTCTTGCTTTACACGGTTCTGTTTGGGCATTGCTTTGGGAAACGGGAGGAAAGATTTGCTTAGTGTATAACTGTCATACAACGAGATACCCTGACAAGGGGGTAACATCAGAATGCGAAAAAAAAAACATCCTAGAAAAGCGGCACAGTCGCACAGGAAACGCCAAATTCAACTCTACTTCTTCTGGCATCCGTGGCTCTCATTGTATG